ATCCTGTGCCACTTTTCCCTCACTATCTGTCCTACTTTGGTGATGATTCAGTGTTCCACCCCGGACACCTTTCCTGGTTGGCCCATGAAGACATCACGGAATTCCTTCACTAGGCCCATCAGCTGTTGGCACTGCTTAATTTCCAGCTGACTCCCTACCAGTATTAGGTCACCGTCCGTGGGTTTGCCTAGATTGTCTCTGACGTGTACCCCAAGCTCGTCTGCCTCAGGGTCAGGGGAGATCAAGGAGACCCTTGGCCTCATGCCACTCCTTTAAGAGGTTGATGTGGTAGATTTGCTGCTCCCTTTTCGCCCCTGGGCATAACACTTCATAATCAATGGGGCCTACTCTCCTCACTACGGAGAATGGCCCCTGCCAGTACGTTAAAAACTTGCTGGTCGAGCTGGGCAGCAGGACCAGTACCTTCTGCCCCACCTTCAACTCCTGCCCCTTAGTCTGAGCATCATACCTTTCCTTTTGGTATCTTTGGGGTTGTTCCCAATTAGCTTGCGCTATACCCTGGGCTACTTGGAGACGCTCTCTTAGGTCTCGGACATATTCAGAAGCCCCCTTACCCGGATTCGGGTCTGCCTCCCAGCCTTCCCGCACAACATCAAAAAGACTGCGGGGTCGGTGCCGGAATGTTAGTTCAAATGGGGAGTACCCCAGTGATGTCTGGGGGGCATCCCTTATCGCAAACAGAAGGGGCGGGACTAGCACGTTCCATTTCCTGGGTTCCTCCTGGGAGCATCCCCTTTAGTGTCCCGTTAAAACGTTCTACCAGACCATTGGTCTGTGGGTGATACACCGCCATCTTAAGGTGGCGGATATGCAGCACCTTGCATAGGGCCTTCAGTACTGAGGACATGAAATTGGGTCCTTGATCTGTAATAATCTCCCGGGGAATCCCGAACTTGGCCACCCATTTCATTAATTCTTCCGCTACCTTAGGTCCGGTTACAGCCCTCAAAGGAATGGCTTCCAGAAACCAGGTTGTATAGTCTATGAGGACCAGCACAAACTGGTGCCCTGCCACACTCTGGGGCAGTGGGCCTACCACATCCAAGGCCACTCTTGTAAAAGGGTCCCGCACAATTGGCATTGTTTGCAGCGGCACCTTAGGGGGCTTGTGGGTGCTTGCCTTCTGGCACACCTCACGGGTCTTATAATACTCCTCCACATCCTCATATATATGCAGCCAAAAGCACCACCGAGTTAAACGGGCCTCCGATTTATGTTTCCCCAAATGTCCCCCAAGGGGATTCCTATGTGCTAGGTGTAAGAGACGTTCTCTGTAGGGTCAAGGTATAACCAACTGTGCGATTTCCTCTCCCTCGACCCGCCCCCGCTTGATTCTGTACAGTAGCCCCTTCCTTATTTCTACTCGGGGAACTGTTTTTCCGCGTTTGGGGGGGTTTACCTGAGTGTTGCCTCCCGGTGATTCAATGTCTCTGAATGGTCGCAATTCATCGTCTCTCTCTTGAGCTTCCCTGAATTGACTGCTGTTGGCCAATGCTTCCAACTCCATGTCATCACTTGCGTCGGTCTCGGTCCCCATAAGTCCTTCTCTTGTATCCTCACACTTCTGGAGCGACTTGATTACCTCGGATATTTCGGGCCAGTCGTGCCCCAAAATCATAGGGTACAGGATCTCCTCATCCAGCCCCACAGGGATTCTCCTCTGGATCCCCTGTACCTGTACCTCCAATAATCGTCTGTCGACGTGGGTCTTTTGTTTGTGTAGGCAAACCATGCTGACCCCGGCACATTGCTGCGCGTGATTCCATCTGACCAATGAGGGGTGGACGAGTGATTGGACGCACCCCGTGTCCACGACTGCCCGGACCGGGCTTCCCTCGACCCAGGCTTTAACTTCAGGCAGGGGTTGAATCTGGGCTCGTCCGTGGCCGCCCACCCCGCAATCCATTGACTCGACCTCTGGCATTGTTCCCGCTCCTGACCGCATCTCCGCGAAGTCCAAGTCCTTAGTAAACCTTGCCTGAGGATCCTGGGGGCAATTCTTTGCCACACGTCCTTTCCTCCCACACGAGAAGCACGTTAGGCCCTGAGGACCCTCTCTTTTTCCCCCCTTGCTCTCTGAGTACTGTCTTGTAGCTGCCTCTTGCCCTTTTGTACCTTTGGATCTCCGTCGGTCCCCTTGGGCCATGTTGAATTGTTCCGCCAGTCGCAATGCCTCCCGAGATGATGGGGGGCAGTGGCATCTCACCCATTTCTGAGTGTCTTCCTCAAGGTCTGTAATAAATTGTTCTAAGAGTATTCGATCACAAATTTCCTCCTTCGAAGTGGTCTCTGGCCTGAGCCATTTACTCAGCAGATCGGCTAGGTTCTGCCATAGGATGTGGGGAGTTCTCCCCTCCCCCGACTTTCTTTCCCTAAAGGCCTGTCGGTGCCTCTCGGGCATTATATCTAGCCGTTGCAGTATCTCGGCCTTAACTTTATCATAGTCCAGGGCATCCCCCCTAGTCATAGCTCTGTATGCTGCTTGAGCCTGTCCAATTAATAGAGTACCTATATGTCTGGCCCATTTGGTCTTTTCTAAACCTGCTGCTATGGCCGCCCTCTCAAATATCTCCGAGAAGGCCTCCGGGTCATCCTCCTTTGACATTTTTGGCATCCTAAAGTCCCATGGTCCCTTCTGGGCCCACAACTGCTGCTGGAGCAGGTGCTCTTGTAGGCTTGTTTGCCTCATGGCCTGTTGCTGTTGCTGCTGCAGCACCTGGGCCATCAGGTTCATTGCTTGCTGCAATGTCTCTACCCCTGGTAATCCAGGTTGGTGCTCCATTTGTACCCCTTAGTACTCCTGGAGAGGCCGCCATCGGAAAAGATGAACTTTCCTGGCCAATGCACCACTGTGCGGGAGTGGGGCGTGATCTTCACAGTACCCACCTCCTCCCGTGTCCGAATGGGCTTCCTGGCGCTTCGAGTCAATCACCTGTGGTCTGTACGCGTCCGGTCCGCCTGCCACGACTTCGATTGTATTCTGGTTCAGTGATATTAATCCGAACGTGTCAGTCCAAAAATGAGACTACTGGACTCCCAGGGTCCTGCGTCGATGAGGGCTCCACCACCCCTACACCCTCGCCCGTACCACCGGCCAGGTAGCTGATCAGGGTAAGTGTCCTGTCAGTATGTCTTTCAATGTCCACAAAAAAATGTCCTGTTGACACAAACGTCACTGCCAGGGATTCTCTAGGGCAAGGGGCTGCTTTGCCCCTTTCAAGCCCCTTGTTATTACCCTAACGGCTGTGTCTCTCAGCACTCCTCTCTACAGCCCTCACTCTGGGCTCTTCTGCCCTCTCCAGGGCTCCCAAAAGCCTCTTAGTCCTCCACAGGACCGGCCAGTCTCTTCTCTCAACTCAAGTGCCCCTCTATTACTGTATATATGGCTCCCGGCTCCTGCTGGGTCCAGCTGTGCCCTGCCGCGTTCAAACGTCCGGGGCTTGGTTGGGCCCCGTCAACCGGGCTCCTCAGCCCTGTTGGGGCTTACCCTTACCCCACCAGGTTCGGCAGCGTCTCCGGGTGCTACCCCTCCGCCTGTAGGTGCTCCCTTCGCTCGCGGCTGCCTCCCGGCTCGCTTCCGGTTCTGCCTTCCCTCCTCCGGGCGTCGGTGTCTCACTTATGTTGGCCCCTGCCGTCCAGGCCACGCCTCCTTCCCCGCACCTGCAAAAGGTGAGTTGTTGCCCTGCGGTCCGGGCTTGAGTGAGGGAGCTTAGCGCGATTGCGCTGGGCTGGGAAGCCTCGGAGCCTGAGTGTCTCTTCACTCCCTCACAGTAACCTATGGCCAAACAGCAGATTTCCCCTCTATTCAGTCACATCTGGAGTACTGTTTCCAGTTTTGTGGCCCTCACCACAGAAAAGACTGGAGAGTCCAGCGGAGGGCAACAAAAATGGTTAGGGGGCTGGGGCACATGACTTCTGAGGAGAGGCTGAGCAAACTGGACTTATTTAGTCTGCAGAAGAGAAGACTGAGAGGAGATTTAATAGAAGCCTTCGACTATCTGAAAGGAAGTTGCAAAGGGGATGGAGCTGGACTGTTCTCAGGGGTGGCAGATGACAGAACAAGGAGCAATGCTTTCAGGTTGCAGCAAGAGAAGTTTAGGTTAGATATTAGGAAAAACTCAGAAGCAGGGTAGTAAAGAACTGGGACAGGTACCCAGAGAGGTGGTGGAATCTCCATTCTTGGAGATTTTTAACACCCAACTAGACAAAGCCTTGGCTGGTATTATCTACTTGGGGATGGTCCTGCCTTGAGCAGGAGGTTGCACTAGATGACCTCCTGAGGTCCCCATCCAACCCTGATTTTCCATGATTCTGTGAAAGACATTTGCTTCATTCCTCTGCACAAAGCAGTTCTTGTGGCCTGTGTCCCTGGATTCAGCATTTGGGCCTTGGAAAACATCTTTTTATAAAGGGAATTTAATTTATGGAATAAATATTGCACAGTGGTGGATTCGATAAGACATCTCAGGCTGCTGCTGCAGTGCAAGCTGCAACATCCTTGAGAATAGGTTTTCAGAGCTTGGGTGACCTTATACTGGCTTCCATGATGTGGTAGATTTCAGACAGGGATTATTCAAATTGCTTCCAGGCTCCTTAGCAAGCACTGTTCAAACAAACCCCCATCCAGATGGGATTTCAGAAACATGCCATGTTTGCTTGACTCTGCACTATTCAATTCAGTGACCTACAGTGAACCCTTTAGAAAATCCCAGCCTTACACCCCTGAGTATTCAGGAACTTTGCTTGCAGGTACCTAAACTACCGCAAAACAGAGTGGCAATGTGCAGCTTTCATTTAATTTTACACTCAGTTTTTTACTCTAAAAATTAAGTTATAACTAAGAAATGAATGGTAAAATCTACACTTGGTATATGGCACAAAACAATACTACCATGTACAGCTACTTCCAGTGCTGTCAGCATGGGGGTGCATTGTCCCAATAATCCAGCACTCACTTCAAGCTCTTTTTTCTTCCTTAGGAAAAATATTTGTTCCTAAAGAAAAGCCCATTGAGACCCATACAGAGGAGAAGGTGACCCTGGACCCAGAACTTGAAGAAGCCCTGGCCAGTGCCTCTGATACTGAGCTCTATGATCTTGCAGGTTAGATAACATGTTTCCAATAAAATCGTAGTCTCTGCATCAGCCTGGCAGGATCGTGAATATTCTCAGAATCCCACTGATTAGACCTTTCTGATTCTCACATTCTCCCACTTTTAAGCCACTGTTGAACTCAGGGCTCAAAAATGTATGGGATAATCACTGATACATACATGTTAATAGGGATTCAACTTCTCCTAGGTTCCAGTTGTCTTTTGATTATCGTTGTGTTTAATTCCCCAAACCTTTCTACTGCCTCAGTCAGGTTTCAGTTTGGATGCTTCATGCCCCTGATCTTTCCTATGGGTCAGGATCCTTGGTGGGGTCATATTTCCCATGAGATCAATTTATACATGCCCATCCATGAGTAAAGGGGTCATCAGGTCCAGGTAGGTAACTAATTAGAGGAGAAGGATCAGCATTTTCTTTGATAGATTACCAAGGAAGTGCAGCCATACAAAGCTAATTTTTATTTATAGCTTGTTTTAGTGAAGCTTGGTTTCTTTTGTCAGTCTATTAGTCCTACTCTAAGTACTTGTTGGTATGTACTTTATAATGTTTACACTGATTTTCTTTTCCTTCCCCATCTCTTTATCAACAATGAGAAACCCCAGGATGGCAATGCTTATATATGTGAGTTAGGAGTATTTGGGTTAGACCAGGGGTTCCCAATGTTTGTGCCCATGGGCACATTCGAATTTAAAAGAAAAAGCAGTGGGCGCCAATATGAATATTAAAGTTTAAAATTTAGAATCCTGGATATGTGCATGCGCATAGCTTCGTTTGGGGAGGGAGTAGTAAGCACTACTCTGTCAGTCAGACTGACTCAGTCTCATTTTGGCAACCGTTGCATACAGCCTGAGTTCAGTCAGCAGTGACAGCATTTTTTGTTGGAATAATGATTTTTACTGATTTTGAAAATGCATGTGGGCACCTGAATAAACCTTGGGGGGTGCCAGGGCACCCACAGACACTGCACCGGGAACTGCTGGGTTAGACACACATGCACCCTCCATTGGTGCATTTGTCACAAAAAACCTGTAGGATTTATAATACTATATGCTAAAAGTTTGATTTAAAATTAATTTCTCACCTATAAGCAAGCATGACTCAAGATGTAACAGCTCTTTAACTGGCAAACTACTTAGGGACTGGAATTTGTAAAAATCACCTTTCTCTGATTTCTCTTATTCATGCTGGATTCTGATGCTGGTGTTTACATACTTGCAGCTGTTCTTGGGGTGCACAACATGGTCAATAATCCCAAGTTTGATGAAGAAGGAGCCACTGGCAAAGATGGAAAAGGAAGCGTGAGAAGTAAGTAAACATATTTTATTGACAGCCTGCATGTGTCCATTAGGAAGTCATATACAGGCTGGGGCTGTTAGTCTAATCAGCAAAGTATCACTCCATTAACCCAGCTACTAATGAGGGAGGAGCACTCTTCAAATAAATGTAATTTAAATGTTGAATCATCATGTATAGTGTCAACAGTGCTATCCAAATTGAACATTCCTGACAGGGAGCTCAGCTTTTCTTTGAAGCAATACACAGCTATACATACACCTATGTTCCCATGCGCCCAGGCACATGTGAGTGTGGAGCTCTGAGGCAGCAAGTAGGAGAGAGAGGTCTGCGTGGTGCCCTGTATTGAGAAATGACCACGTGGTCATGCTGCAAGTTAGCCCGAGTGCATACATTTGCATAACTAAGGCTAACCTTACAGTGCGGGTCACCAGCTCAGCGGTATCCCTGGCTGGGAAAATTCCAGGTCAGTACAATTTGGTATAAAGAGTATTGGGTATAAAGAATCTCCAGCAGAATTCACATCCAGTGGCATTGAGCTCTGAGAGGAGGGTAGTGGAAAGTAATGCCTTCCTGGCTATTGCCCTGATCTGTACTTCATGCCTTTTTATTAGGCCACTTGAAACCCATAATGTGTAAGGTTAAGCACATTGCCCGGAAACTGCAAGTGCCCAGAAACCGACTGAAACAGTCCTATGAATTATAACGATACCCCCCTCCATGGAAGCTATGTGCTCACTCTCCATAACCTTCTAATATTATAAACTGTTTTTCCATGGAGAGGACCCAGAACTTTGGAATCAAATTCAAAACAAAACAAAACAAAACAAACCTTTTCTCCAGTCCAGATTTCAGGAATATTGGATTTGGGCCTTTTTGTGCTGTTTTTGAATAGGTTGTGGATAGTCCCTTGCCTGGGTGTACAAGAAAAGGTAGTTACTTATGCAGCCTCCCATCTTGGAAAGCTGTAAGTACAGCAGCTGTTGTGGACAGGGGCTTTTTGTCTCCTTTGTCACCTGTAGTGAATGTACTGCCCAGGAAGAGGGTGGGGACAGTTGTAACTGGACAATTTCTCCCGCATTCTGCAGGACCAAGACAGCTTGGAATGGCCCAGGCAGGACTTGGCACAAGCTGTGGCCTCTCTCAGAACATGCAGAGGTTTGTGCTACATAGACTGGAGATTATTTTTGTAGTATCAGGTCAAAATGTTAACTATGTGGGTCTGCTAAACTATGCTCCCATCACGAGTTTAATGACCAGAGACATCACTCAGTCAGATCACTTTGTTCCTCTGTCCAAAAGCAACAACTTCTCCTAGCCAAGTGTAATTTTTCAGTTAAACAAAAGAAAAAGGAACACATTTCTAAAGCTGATATTTACTGTGGCAAAACAGCTACCTGATTAAAGAAAGGAGATAAAATTCTTTGGAAGTGAGTGGCAGCACAGGGAGATGCACACTGCTGAAGGTGGGCTACATTAGAAATTGCAATGCTGTCTGCATGTTAGAATCACTAATATGTAGTCCTGCACTACAGGCCTGTTATTGGCTCCCATCCAAGTAGAGTGCTGAAAAAAAACATTTGCTGAATTTTTCCCTGAATCCCAAGGTGCTGAGCACTATGAATATATTTTAGCAGCAATTTTTGAGAACCTCAGTAACTGAAGGCTGGAATAATTGGAGTAATTAGGGATACTCGTCAACAGGCTTCAAAAGGCTTGGAGGGAATATAGGGCAAAATCCAGCTCAAGGCTTGTTTACCACTTAAGTTCTGCTGTGAGACTGAGGTAGCATGTTGACTTTTATCCAGTGCACTGAGTGAAAATGCATGAAAACTTCCAAGTTTCTACACAAAGCCCTTGAAATAACTTACTTCCTACAACACAAAATAAGTATGCTGTGGTCAGTAACATATTTATTTCGTGTCTGTAGTCTTGGCTACCCAAGCCACTAATAATTCATCTCCATAACTGTGTGCCTGGGAATTAGAGATACTAATTGTGTTGTAAGCCATGATTTTATGCATATCCAGGAATGATTGGTTTTCATTTATAGTACACATCTGCCAACGTTAAAAACTGTATCACTTTGGAGCATGGATACTCAAAGTCTTCATAAATCTTGGTGCTGGCAGAGGGATTTGCTTTTCATGCTTTGATAGTTTTATTATTTAGAATGTGCAGATGTTGCAATCTTACAAGATCTAATTGGATTTATAGAAGGGCTGCTAATGTCAGAAATGGAGGTGCATGTTAAGAGGCCTTCTCATCATAATCTTTGATGTCAACACAATCTATTTGTAGGAGAAAGGGGATTTTCTCAGACCATTCCCAAATAGATTCCTATGTGTATCTTCTCTTGCAGACTTTATTGTAGGACCATAGCAACTCAGACTGTGCAATGCACTGAAATCAGTGGGACCAACCTTTTTGGTAGGCATGTCACAAATTAGCCCCTCACCCGCCCTGAGTGCTGCTTTCTTTTACTCAATGTGCTGCTCAGCTTTCTGTTCCCTGTCCTGTGCTCTCTGCCTGATCTGATGTTCAGCTTTTCACTCCCAGTCCTATCTGCCACTGTGCTACCTTTGTCCTCCCCAGTTTGCCTTATGCCACATGCAGAGATTGACTATGCCACTTGGGGCACCTGTGCTGCAGGGTGGCCACCTCAGCATTGAAGTGCTTCCCTTAGACCTGGACAAGCATGGTTAGCTCAGAATAACTGCACTGGGAACCTGGCAGATAAAGCTGAGTATTTATTGCTACTGGTACACACCAACACTATGGTGACAGCACACTAACAAGCCTCTGTTACCAGGACTAGCGTAGTAGTATCATCTGCAGGCTCTGTGGGACACTCTCCCCTTGGTGGTATCCTACAACAGGGCAAAACAGCCATGAAGATCTACAGACTAAATGGGGTCCAGCTCAGGAGCTGATGGCTTCTGGCTGAAGAAAGGAGCAAACTGATAGATGAAACAAGGACTATCCACCCATAATGCCAGGGGCTGGGCTTAAAAAATGACAGTGAAAATAGATGCTCTGTATGTCTGAAGTTCCACTAGGTCTGGGGAGGCATGTAAAGAGGAGAGACTGCAACCAGTTTCCTCCTGGCACCGCCTTGGCAGGATGCAGCAGCTCCATAGCCACTCCATATCCCAATGTACTCCCCCTTCTGTCACAACAGCTTGGCCAGTGAGACAAGAGGAGCATGGCTGCCTCAGCGACTTGATACCCATTATAAGACCCTGCAGGGGCACTTTGGAGAGAAAACGTGCCGTGTTAGGCCCAAGTAGAAAGAAATCAGAGTGGGAAAAGGTCAGTGTGGGCACAATACCATTTATAATCCTGGTGAACAGAGCAGTGACTTGCTAGTGAATTGCTAGGGAAAGAATAATTCTACAATTTTTACACAAACTGGGAGCTATATCAAAGTAGTAGTTCATCTCAGCACTTAGGCTGTATTGTCCTTTTTGTATATGGCTATGTATGGTCAGCCAACTGAATGCAAAGCCATTCTTTATTGGTCACAACAAAGACAGCATTAACATCTCAGATAAAGACTTGTCAGAACCTGTCCAGTACTGAACTAAGCTTGTGATTTTATCATAAAACAGACTCACGACCACACAAAAATTAACACGACTTGCCAGGAAACAAAGATAAACAAGAGTCTTCAAAAGCAAGTTTGTGGATGTCTGACCTGGACCTATTTTCTATGTTTAATGAACTCCTGTGTTTCAGATGTGGTCAAAGGTGAAAAGGTCAAGCCAATTTTTGAGGAGCCACCTAATCCAACCAATGTGGAAGGAAGTTTGCAAAGGATAAAAGCAAATGACCCTAGTCTCGTAGAAGTTAATCTGAACAACATAAAGGTAACTGGATAAGTGCTGTGACCTCATCACTTCTGTTTGGGAGGGTTGATTTGGGACAAGATTTGCAAAATCTTTCGGACACCGATGTTTGTCTTTAAATGTGTTTCTTCAGTTACCATTCATAGGCAGGACAGAAAGAGCAGCTGGCAATTAATTAAAACTCCAAGGGATGGCTCCTCCCTGGTTTTTCTTTTAGTAGCTTGTAATGTAAGATACCTCAGGGGAGCCATACAATCATTGGCCTAATTCAGTTAGCCCACACATGGAAATGGAGGAGCTGGAAAGATGGGACCCTGAGCACTCCCTGCTCTGACCTGCAGAAGCGGTATAAAGAAGCCTGTTGAAGCTAGGTGGAGCTGCTTCTGTGGTTGTTTTGGGATCAAAGGTAGTGAGAAATGACAACTCATTAAAAGCGTTTTCCCTTTCTTATTTCATATAGTTTTAAAACCAAGGCACAGTATGACTAATTTTGAACTGATTCATTGTAAACTTCTGTGAGGAGGGCTTAGCTGATAGCAATCATTCCTTCAGGTTTGAGATTTCACATCCAGGCCTAGGCTGTTCCCCAAAGTTAATGCTGCATTTTGTACTAACCACAAAATGATATTATTGCTCTCCATGTGCTCCCACCCACCAGCAGCCACTCTTCAACCAGCAGTCAGCCCTCCCTACAGACAGTAACCACATTGTCCCAGCTAAAAACCAGGTTTATCAGACACATTTTATGCTACATCCTGCAGTGGCCAAAAATTAGTCTTATCAAATTGCAAGAGGAAGCCTATGAAGAAATTGAGGCTATACCATGCAGGTCCAGGATTTTAATTCTAGAGACAGAGAGCAAGAGCTTTCCCCCTGTCATCACCACCATGATGGTGCACTATAGAAGAGACTGCTCAGAGGATAATAGCAGACTCTGGGTGCAAAGCCAGTGGGGTGTGAGCAGCCAAAGCCAAACAAATGTAACTACATTCAGATGGAGCTATTCATGGGCAGAGCTCATTAGTCTTCCCACAGCACCACTTTAATACAGCCACATTGCTGCTGCTCTGGGAGCAGGAAGGCATGATGTGACTGAGCCTACGGCTGCCTGATGAATTTTTGCATAGGACATACACTGTGCCTGATCTGGGGGTGCCCCTGCCCCAAAATTGGAGGCTGTGGCTTAGCTAATTAGGTCTCAGTCCATTTAAGACTTCAGGAATAATTCACTGCATTTAAGTAAATTTGGAAGTGAAAACAGTGCAGAGCAGATACTGGCTCATATAGGCCTATCTGATTGAAAGGGCCTAGGCTCTTTGAATAGTTTTCAAAAGCAGTGACAAGCAAAGCAAATTACAGTAGTTCAGCCTCACAGCCATTGTACAGCACAAGAGAGGGATGGGGAGAAGGTGGTGACTCTGAAACTGTAGGGGGTGTCAGTGTTAATCCATGTAGCAATAATTAAAGTCAGATGTCCTGCAGTGTGATTGGCTTTGGTGATTAGTAGATTTTTTTTCTTGATGCAGAATATTCCAATTCCAACACTGAGAGATTTTGCAAAGGCTTTGGAAACCAACACCCATGTGAAGACATTCAGCCTTGCAGCTACTCGAAGCAATGACCCTGTTGCTATTGTAAGTTGAAACAGTGCTTGAAAAAGATGTTCATCATCTCTAGTCTGCACTAGATTTTGTTCTTCTGGTTTCTCGTATGACCATGCACAACAGTATTATAAAAAATTGTGCTGTAGGAATATACCTTTCCTCCATGGCCCTGTTTGCATTGCTTTTGTGGTTACTAACCATAGTTCAGCTGTGTTGTTCCCAGCAACTTTCAGGGTTCTGAACTCATGCTACCCCCTCTTAACCTTTTAGGCTTTTGCAGATATGTTGAAAGTGAACAAGACACTGAAGAGTCTGAATGTAGAATCCAACTTCATCACTGGGGCTGGTATTTTGGCATTGATTGATGCTCTAAAAGAGAATGAATCCCTGACAGAGATCAAAATTGACAACCAGGTAAGAAGGCTGCTTCTAGGTAGGTTCCATGTGTTCCAGAGCATTTTCATTTTGTGATCTGGCAGAGACAAGGCGGCATCTCTCAGATCTGGCCTGAGGTACCTCATTCCTGCACATTCAGCCAGCTAATAGAAAAAATGCTAAGCATCACTAAGGGCAAAAGTAAAGGCACAAATACTCCAGAGATGGGCTTCTTGCTTCAGTTTGCACCAAAATATGAGAATGTAACCACTTCTTTCTCTTGTGTTTCTTTTCCATTTTCACTTATTTCCCCCCTCAGAGGCAGCAGCTGGGTACAGCTGTAGAGATGGAGATTGCCAAGATGCTTGAGGAAAACTCCAAGATTCTCAAATTTGGATATCAGTTCACAAAGCAAGGCCCAAGAACCCGGGTAGCAGCAGCTATCACTAAGAACAATGATCTAGGTAAGGTGGTGCCTTCTTTCCCCAGCAGTTTTTGAGGAGAGAGGGGAAAGCCCTGCTTCTCTTAGGCAGAACTATTATTAGCCTGACTAGCACATCTAGCTCTAAGTGAAGGGGACTAGAGCAGAGCTTTAACTAATAGTGATTTAGAGTCACTCTTCCTCCTCTTGTACTGGGGAGAGTAACTTAGTTCAGCCTCTCCCAAGGAACACCTGCACTTATCTTAGTTGTCTTGGCTGCTACTCCAACTGGCAAGTAGAAGAGAGACAGGGCTTCTTCAACTGCCCTCTACTTGCTCATAGCAGGAAGTGCCAGGAGAGAAACCCTTAGCTGCTCCATCACAGCAAGATTCACAGCCTGACCAGGTCACATCAGGGAACCAGGGAGACTGTACTCATATGTGGCCAAGTAAGGGCCATGACAATCTCACCTTTTGCCTTAGCAAGGGTGGACCTTTGTGTTTGTAATGCTGAGTACTGAGTACAGAGTAGGGCATTAGTAGCGAGCTGTACAAGAGAACCTTCACTGCTTTAATTCCTTCTTAATCCTGCAGGGGATGCAGTCAACCATCATGTGTACAGGTGCCCATAGTGCCTGATCCAGAGGTCTTCTCTTAGTTGTGACTCCATTTATACTCAGACAGTCTGACCAGTTCAGGTTCATATCAGTAAGATCTGAGAAAAAACTGAACTAGGCTATGCTCTGTCCAAAGTACATTTTGGGACAGTGCAGTGTGCTTTCCAAGAAGCCTCTCTGCATATTACAGCTTATGATGCAGGGCAACACTTTGTCATTACTGGCTTATTGCAGTGAAAGTAAGATGGAATAGAAAATGTGGGGACAAAGAAGAAGAACCAGCACCACTGACTACTAGTTAGACCTGACCTCAATCTGTTAGACTCTATTACTGAGCACTATGGGTGATGCCAGCAACTGATGGGAGAATGACATCAGCCAAAGAAGTCTTACTCATAGCACAGTAATGGCAAATGCTCCAGAAAACTACACCTTCCTAAGACAGTCCATTTTCAGTATGGATCTGTGAGTTAAATGCCATATTTACTCAAATCTAAAACAACCCAGAATGTAAGATGACCCCCATAATAGATTCTACACATGGAAAAAGCATAAATTTGTTATAAATTTTCCATGTATTGAATCTAATTATCGGAAGGTCATCTTAAATTCTCTCTCCCCTCCCCCCCTCCCCGCCCGCAGTGGGGAAAGCAGTGGCAGGGGGCAGGCAATTTGACCCTGACCCTTGCCTCCCCTGACATGTCCCCCTGCTGCCTACCCTGCCCCCTGCAGCCTCAGGCCTCCTGCCACTCCTTCCCCCTGCTGCTTTCCTCCTGCCCCACACCCCACTGCCACCACTGCTACCAGGCCAGGCTGGGGCCAGAGCAAGCACATGCTCCATGCTCAGCAATCAGAGTGGGGCTGGAGCCTGCCAGAACAAGGGTAATGAGTGGCGGGGGGGAGGAGCCTAAGGCTGCAGGGGAAGGGAAGGGGGAGGGGCTGGAGCCAGAACCATACCAGCTGCCTGCCCCTCCACTGCCTTGTCTCAAATTCAAGAGGAGCTTTATTCCTCCATACTAAATGGGAGGAAATCTCACCTTGGATTTGAGTGGATACAGTAGAATCTATTGTTTCGTAGTCTACTGCTGTGCAGTCTACACTGAAACTAAAATATTTGCTGTAGGGCCCAATTCAATATTTACTTGGTTGTCAGTAGTCAGTAACAACTGAAATTATGTGATAAAATAACACATTTATAGATACTGCTGTCATATAGAACAGCAGTATATTTACTTACTTTGTAGCTTCATAAAAGAAATGAGAACAGATCATGAGTTTCGGCCATACCATCTCATTTAAATGGCTCCAGAGGGAAACCCCTAGCAGTCCCAGGCAGCCTAGAGTACCCATATCAGTTTAACTAGAACAAAACAAGACTTTTAAGGGAGACAGCATAGGCCATGCAGACGATCGAAAATGTCACTGTTTGAACAGTGGTGGATTCTCCATTGCTTAGAAGCCTGAACACCTTCACTGACTGATTCAGTAACAAGCATTTATTAGTCCTGTGAGAAGTGTGCTTGGGTTCTTCATAAGTTAAAACTGAAACAGTTGTTTTTTTTGCTCTCACTGAAACAGTTCGTAAAAAGCGAGTGGAAGGAGACCGGCAGTAGCCAAGCCTTGGAGGATACCAGAGCTACTGAAGGCAGCCAACACTATGGCAAATCTCAGACTGTCCACTGGTCAGAAGGGAAGACACTGGAAAAATATATTAGAATGAGGGTTGTTCATTTCCGTTACTGTCCCCGTTTAACCTTGAAAATGCAGTCTGGTTGTTTTTAACTCTCATAGTTTGATTTTTAGGAGAAAAACAAAACAAAACAACATGTTATTGCATTACCTGAAGCCAATATGGACAACCTAGAGATCAAGTGTATGTGTTAAACATCAGCTGTAACCACAGTAACCTTGCTTTAGACATTTTAAAATTTTTTAAAACTTTTTTTTACATTGATAAGGGATTCTCTATATAAGGAAGCTCTAGGGCCCAGTCCTGCAATGCCTTAAGTATGTGAATTATCCTTACTCATGTGAATAATCTCACTAAAATCAATAGGCTGCTTGGGTGAGTGAGGACTGCTTATACCAAGAGAGGTCTGCAGGATCGTGCCCTTATGACTCACTCTTCCAATCACATCTAGGCCCCTGGGACTCTATATTCGTATGAACGCATCTGCCTACAGCAGGACCTTGCCTGCCTGGATCTGATTGCTGGAGCAGGTCAAGGTTTTATAAGTATCAGAGCCTACTTGTTTACATGCATTTAAGTTAGGTTGATCATGTCAAAAATTTTACGTTGATCTTTGTATTCTTACTCCATGACATAAAGTAAAAATCTTAGTGTTGCCAAACCTAGAATAACTTCATAATGTCAGTTATTTTTCTAGTTCACTGAGTTATTTTATGTTTTTTTTAACAGACTATAAGTTTTTCAGTCATAGAGCTCTGTAATGTAAAGCAGTATATTGAGCAGTATTTGCTTTGCTTTGAACTGCACTCTTGACATTTTTATTTTTGGTATTCTTGTTCTTGTGTTAGTACAAATGACAGAACTGTTCTCAGGACCTTGTTGATGAAGACTGATTAAGCTATTTAATCCAAGGCAGTTCTGCTGGCAGATAGATAAAAATCAGGAGAGTAACACATACTACTCACCTAGTTTACATTTCTAGGCTCTAATTCAACAGTCTTTCCTTGTACAACAAAGCACGTATGTGGGACTTAGGCACATGTGTACCTGCTTTGCTGAATAAGAACAGAGATAAGCAGATGCTTAAATTCTTTGCCAAAATGGGGCCTCAACCCAGGATTCTGTACATTTTCCCGAAGAAGTGGAGACTATGTGTGTGGTCTAAATTAAACCCAGTGCTTAACAGCATTTGAACATGTCAATGGGATGTTGTCAAAAGACTGTGCTAAACATTCAGTTGAAAAGGTAACTTCATTTTATTTGCATTCAGTTTTATAGTATTACACCTTAATTTCCAGCCATATGTACATATTTTGTCATTGCCAACTTTTGTGCTTGTCAGGTAGCCAGGGGTTCACCTTGATCATATTTATGTCCAATACAAGAGTTAAAGGTGGCTGTTTTTAGCTGGCTTAGCTATCCCAGTACCATCCAAAACCTACAGGTCTTTACTTGCGACCAAAGCCTGTGACATCCTTGAACCATTAGCCTCTCTTCCAAAGGTCCTCTCCTTATGGTGTGGGTGCTTGCCTGAGTGTATGCTGGTGGGTGTGCTGGCTACAGGGAATACGGAAGAGAAGATCAGTGACACCTAACATGTTCAGGCATCTCAAAGCCTGCAGAAGACAGTGTGTGGGATCATCAAGGTGGGGAGTGTGTGACCTGGCTACACAAGAGGTCAGTCAGTGTGTGTGTGGCATATTCCTTTCTAAGCCTGGCAGATTCCTGAGCAGGATTCCACCTGGGAACTGCTTCAAGCACCATAAAGTCTCCCTCTGTGCCTTCTACGCTTTTTGGAACAGAGGTGGGAAATGGCCGCTCTGGTCCCAAGAGATGCACAGAGGGAAGGACAGATCTCAGGACAATGCTCCTGACCAAATCAGGCACTGAAGCATGTACTTAAATCCCAATGACTTCAAATTAAGCAAATACTTAAGAAGTTAAGCACATGCCTACATGCTTTGCTGAATCAGGACCCATACATGCAGTATCCATAGAGATAGTGGGGGAGCTTCAGGGTCCCAGGGGGTTTTAGACCTACTTTCTCCTTTGCTGCCCTGTTAGAAACCTTTTTCTCAAGGAGAGGACTGTAAAGGGGCAGCCTGGCCAGTGAGTTTTTCCCTCACCTCCATGCAGGATGTGCTGTGAGAAGGGAAGATTAACAGTCTGTTGGACATAATGAGACCTGCAACATGGACCCAGTCTGGCTTTAAAGGCTCTCGCATAGGGCAGGCAAGTGACAATACTGCATGCATCAGGGCTAGGCACATGTTTATAGGGTTGCAGCATTATGCCTCTTGTGAGCAAAAAACTTTGATTCAAGAATCCCTGCCCCCAAAGGATTTCTGATACCAACACACTTCACCCCAAAGATAAATCAGTTCCAGTCCTTACCCACATTCTCTTCTTCAGCTGTGGCTTGAGCCAAGAGAGGGAAATGCTCAGTTTTTCTGGGTGTTTTAACACTTTAATGATTTATATTGGCCCCATTTTTCAATGGTGTCTTTTGTGTTCAAGAGCAGCAAATACAATGCATTTGTAGACTTAACCTCCATTCACAGTGTACGTGTTTGCATGCAGCTCTTGTATAAGGGGTGGATTTGTCCAGCTGCTATTTGGTGTATGGAAGCATGTCATCCTGGATATCTTTGATCAGAATCATGCAAACAGTTGTATCATGAGGCAGCTACATTCATTTCAGCAAGTCTGGAACATTTCTCTTGGTTGGCCAACCATGGGAACCTGCTTGGGGATAGCCCTGGTGGTGTTGCCTTCCTTTCATCTTCCATGACTGCATGCACCCTGCAGAGGTACTTATCTCCTAAGGATAAGACTGCTCCAGCATTTGTGAGCTTTACCTATTAAGAGCCTGATAGCACTATTAGGCCTATGCTGGAGTAGGGCACTGGGTCACATACTCCCTTGCAGGGATCTGGGGAGCACTGTGCCTCCTGGCTCTTTCCATTGTACACAGGGAACACATCAGCACACAGTCCCTCTCTCTGTGGCCAGCTAGCTGGGGTGGGGTGATAGCCAAGCCTCCTTTCTGCTGCTCTCCATCCATTTTGGAGGGTTAACCCCAAACCCCCCAGGTCATCCTTGCCTTCAGAATAAGCACAAGGACTGCAGGTATAGCAAAACTGAGGCAGGGTGAGAAGAAGTCTCCTTTTGGCCTCCTTCTTAAGGCACATGCAAATGCGAGCTGGCCACAGTCCAGCTTGAAGCATTTCAATCTACGTATGCAAACAGAAGGGAGTACTCAGTAGACTTACAGCTAATCTAGCGCCTTCCTGGAAACAACAGGTTAAAATGCTAACCTTGCTCTACAGTGAGTTGGCCACTAAACTCTCTGCAACTAATGTGAAGGGGGTTAGAATGTGAGAGTGTATTTTAAGTACAGCTTTCAAGCATATTCCTAATCTGGGACACCAGGGCATAAGCAGAGCCCAGTTTTTAAGCAAACACATGCATGATTGGGAGCTGCTAGTCAGAGTCTATTTTTGCACATTGCTTCTCATGTCAGCAATTTGGGTTTTGTTTGTCTTTTCTATAAAAGTTTTAGACACAGAACAGCTGAGCGTTGTGCGTGTCCTGATGTTCCTGTGTATTGTAGAGTGCACTAAGGGGAATATGGTGTCTGTGTGAAACACTAAGAGAAAATGCTTTTCTGGATCATAAATGTCTGCATGTGCACAGCTTGGTGCATAGCACGTGAGGGAAAGGGAGTCACCAGAATATGCAGCAGTGACTCCCAAACATCTTGGCCTTTTTAAATAAACCTTCATGACAAACTGGGCTTCCTGTGTTGACTTCTTGCTCTAACCAAGCAAAGGCGCTGCTGATGTAGTGCCATGGGCACTGGGGTGAGCAGGTTCTCCTTTCACGTTGCTCATGACATTTCCTTGTTCTTAAGAATCCCTTGAATTTCATATTTTCTGTCTCCCAAGGAACAGCAACGAGAGAGATCCTTCTGGGAGGAATCATCATCTTGTACTCAGAGCTGTGACCAGGAATAGGGCAACTTGAACTCCAACTTACTTCACTTCACTGTGCCTCAGTTTCGCCAGCCATAACCTTGGGGTACCATTTTCCTTCCTCCCAGAAATGAAGCACTTGTGTTTGACAAGTGCCTTGAGCTCTGAAGCTGGCAGGCAGACAGTTCGATCGGGGAACACTTGAAAGTTCGAACACTTTCAACACACAGTAGTGACTGAACTCCCAAAGTCCCATTCTTAGAAGTAGACAATGAGACACTGAGATAGTTAGGACATGTCAATACCACTTCTGCAGCCCTCCTGAAAAAGCTAGGAAGCTTGCTCGTGTTGTTCTGCACAGTGCCATGGCTGGCTTGCTTGAGAGTGATGACTTATTAAAGCAGAAGCAGGTGGACGGGGTGTGATCATTGGCAGCACTCTGGAGCACCGGGGAAGCAGGACAGAGAAACCTTCATGATATGTCTATGTAGCACAGTGCAGTGCTGCACAGGGATGTGAGAGCTGGTTCTGAACTAGCACGAGCACTGGATGTACTACATCAGAAGTACTGAGCGCTGGTGAGGAGCCGGGTATGTTACCTCAGGTGGAGCGGCATGCTTATACAGCTACACTGCATCTGCCTCCCCTGTAGCTTATTCAGAGCTGGCTTATGTGCAGGACTGTACTGCGCTCTCTAGACATTCCCCTCAGCTCAGATTTTAAGATATTTAAGCACTTAAGCACCACTGAAAGTTTGAGAGATTTAAAATTTTTAAGGATCAGATTTTAAAGGTATTTAGGCATTTAAAGATGCCTCAAGTGGGATTTTCAGAAATGACTAGGTACTCACTCCTAGGAGAGTTAGTCCCACTCAACACCTATCAGCATCATAATGTCCCCAAGTGCCTCATTCAATTTTAAAAATTGGTATTAGAAGCCCAAGTCACTTAGGTGCCTTTGAAAAGTACCATGCAGTGATTTCCAGGCCAAGTGTGAAACTGACTAATAAAAATACCCATGCCCTACACTTAGGTGCATAACACAAAAGCAGGGCAGCCAGAAACATGGAAAAGTAGGGTTGTCCTTTTTTAACTAGGTTCAGTATTTTCATAGATTCATAGTAAGGTTCATAGATTTCACAGATTTAGTAAGGGGCTGGAAGGGACCTCGCAAAATCATCAGGTCCAGCCCCCTGCACTAGGCAGGAAAGGCAACTGGGGTCAGGTTGTTTTCTATACCTTGAGTTTCAATATTCTTCTGTGATGATCCCAGTAATTTATGAAACTAAGCAGTTAATTTTAGCAGTAGACTTGTGCAGGACTGTGTTAAGTATAGGACTAAAGTGAAAATTCAGCACAAATCATAATGAAGTACTGCTCAGAGGCCTCTACGCTGCAAGGAGATTTTTAGGTTTCATCAGTTGTGAACTGCATTTGGCCCTGGAAGCATTTTCTCCATATTAGTATTGTGAAAGATTTAGGCTCCAATTCACATTCTTGGCTCTGGAATTTTAAAATAGGTCCCAGTTGTTCCCTGCAGATGTGTCAGCAATAGAAGTTTCTCAGCAAGACTCAGCAGAGATGAAAACTTCAGCAAAACACGCAGAAAGAGCTGTCTAAAAAGTAAGTAGCAGCTTCTCTATTCCTGAGAAAATTAATCAGTCTCTTTCATCAAAATATCCCTCCTTAGCTTCTGTTAGGGAAGGCCTATGAAACTGGGTTTTTTCATGGTCTTGAGTGGAGTGGGGGTGGGTGGAATACCTCAGTCTGGTAAAGTGTGAAGTTTTTCAGCTGCCTCCTGTATAGCAACTTCCCAGAATATAACTCTGTGGCTGTACACATATGTGCACAGTCCTGTATCCTATATACCCCAATGCACATTGAGCACTTCACTTGCTTTGGCATTTCTTTATATCTCCCTAGGTGAGAATCTATGGCTCTGGCACCTAAGTCCCAATGCAAATCTAACCCAAACGGCCTGTTTCACAACTTAAATACACAGTACAATATAAAAACACTGTCCTCACATAACTAAATATCCAGGAAGGCCCCTTCAGCTTCCCAGACTAGTCCTTTCCCAGAAACACAGTGAGGCCTGTAGCCTGCCCAGAAAGCTGGCGGGTCTGGAAGCAGGCAGCCCGGGGCGGGGAGCGAGTTTCTAATTCCATTCTGGGAATGGCCAGCAGCAAGAGTGCAGGTCTGAGGGACCCAAACTTTCCGTGCTCTACAAACATTTTTTCAGTAGAAAAATACCCTTTTTAAAAGTCTTTGCCAACAGTTCATGATCATGTTCTCTGCCAAGAAGCTTTTACTAAATCTCTAGATTAAACAAACATTTTTCACAGATCACACTAGCAGTAGCAAGTCTTGCCAAATTTGTGTTGTAATGGCCTCAGAAACTCAGCTCTCATGTCATTAACAATTAAACTCTCACCTCATTCTGCTTACTCAGTTCAGCCACCAGACACTGGAGTTCACCTCTAACATTAGGACCATGAATCACTTGTATAAAAAAACATGTCTATAATAAAGATTGGCTTTCTATAACAGAGAACAGTAGACACCAGTAGGCAATCTGAGTGCAGCCCTTGTGTACCAGACAAGCTGCCACTCCAGTTTGGTGCTGAAGATGAAGGCAAACCCAACTTCCACCTTCTGCTTATGCAGCAGATAAGGCCCCATATTCAGCAGAAATGCTGCACTTTTGCTGTGTGAGGGTAGGGAAGAGGGAATGCAGAGAGCAAAGAACCAGCACAGTGGGAATTCATGCCCCCATGTGAGCTCCACGGGGTTGTGTGCTGTTCACTAGAACGGTGTGTAGGAACACTGAAATTCCACATCAAACTCAATCCTCATAGGCTGTGGACACACTTTACTTTTGTAGTGCTATATACACCCTTAAAGTTACAAAAAGTGAGTGGCCATACATCCATATAGTTTGTAGTGTTACAAAGATGTAGAATCTACTACAAAAATGTAGCCATACAAAGTGCTGAGACTACAAATGTACAGTGTGTCTGTAGCCTTAACTCAGTAGTCACAGCCCAGGGGCTTGGAGTTACAGCAAGAAAGTAAGCTTATTTCTTAACCAGACAGAATATGAATGGAGTGAGAACAGTGATACCTTATGCTGGGGATGATGGCGACCTCTCTGGGGGAAGAGGGAGAGAAGATATTGCCACCATGTGGTTGATGTGGTCAGAAGGAAAAAAAATTAAGTGGTCTTTGGGCACAGAATATGTTACTTAGGGGTCTGTAACCTGGAGGTTATCCAGACTACCTATACTTAAACTTAAAATGAACCCACATGGCTTGAACTTTGCTAATATCACCCTCAACATGCCACTGACTGCTTAGTGGTCAACTAATCACAATCCCCAGTAAGATTATGGAGAAAATTATGAAAGAGACCCTTCTTGATAAGCTGGCTGATGGCAACATCCTGAGGGACAGGCAGCACAGGTTTGTTGCAGGTAGGTCTTGCCTGACCAATCTCATTTCCTTCTATGACCAGGTGACATATCACCTGGACAAGGGAGAAGAGATCGACATCATATATCTGGACTTTAAAAAAGCCTTTGATCTGGTGTCCCACCATCTCCTCATGGAAAAATTGGCCAACTGTGGCCTTAGCTGCACCACAGTCTGATGGCTGAGAAATTGGCTCCGAAGTCGGACCCAGAGAGTAGCGGTCGATGGCAGCGAATCATTATGGCGCTCCATGACCAGTGGTGTCCCCCAACGCTCTGTCCTTGGACCAGTTCTCTTTAACGTCTTTATCAACGATGTGGATACTGGTGTCAGAAGTGGACTGGCCAAATTTGCCGATGACACTGAACTTTGGGGTAGAGTGTCTACACCTGAGGATAGGCTAGTGATCCAGGCTGACTTGGATGGGCTCAAAAAGTGGGCAGATACAAACCTAATGATGTTCAATACCGACAAATACAAGGTATTTCACCTTGGGGGGAAAAACCCCACAGCACACTTATAGGCTCGGCAGTGCTACGCTCACTAGCACCATGGCCAAAAGAGACTTGGGGGTCCTGACTGACCACAAGATGAACATGAGTCACCAATGTGATGTTGCAGCTGATACAGCAAATCAAACTCTGGCTTGCCCATAAATGCTTCTCAAGTAAATCTCAGGATGTCATCTTCCTGCTGTACTTGGCCTTGGTGAGTACTGGAGTAATGCATCCAGTTCTGGACTCCACAATTCAAGAAGGATGTGGAGAAGCTTGAGAGAGTCCAGAGGAGAGCCACATGCATGATCAGAGGGCAAGAGAACAGGCCTTATGAAGAGAGGCTGAGAGCCATGGGACTCTTCAGCTTGGAAAGGTGCAGGCTCAGGGGGGACCTGATGACAACCTATAAGTACATAAGGGGTGCCCATCAGGATCTGGGGGAACGTCTGCTCACCAGAGTGCCCCAAGAGATGACAAGGTTCAACTGTCACAAACTCCTACATGACAGTTTTTGGCTGGACATAAGGAAAAACTTTTTTTTACTGTCCGAACCCCCACGACCTGGAATAGACTCCCTCCAGAAGTGGTGCAGACACGCACTCTGGACTCATCCAAGAAATGATTGGATGCTTATCTTGCTGGGATCCTTTGACCCTGGCTGACTTCCTGCCCTTGGGGCAGGGGGCTGGACTTGATGACCTTCAAGATCCCTTCCAGTCCTAATGTCTATGAAACCTATGATCTCTCTCTAGTTTTACATATAGTTACATATAGTTGTTAGGGGATGGAAGAGATTTTACAGATCATGGTGTCCAGCCTTCCTGCACTTGGGGAGGAATGACTGCTGGGA